CATAAGCTGTCAAGGTGCAGTTTTTAGCAGGTCGGTTCTTTTAAACGAGTGTGCAAACAACTCCACACATTCCTCAGGTCAGCTTCATTCAGCAAATGTCACCACACTTTTACACAAACATGCTGCAATGATAAAAAAGTATATTTATTGTCAGCAAACATCAGAACGAGTTAAGCATCAGTGGTACTCAACCCCCCAGTGTCTTTCCGGACATGAAGAAGGGTTATTCAGCAAAATCTAGTTTACAGGATATAAATCAGTTACGTAGCATCCATCGAATCTTCTTTCATAGAGAGGAGGCCGTCTCATCAGACATTGTAACAGACACCAATAAAGCCATTTTTGGGGGTGTAGGTTATAGCCGTGTTGGCCTAAGGGCATAGGCAGACAAGGTTCTTTGGGTAAATCCGGTATCTTTTATTAAACCAGCTCAAGTAGTTGGTCTAATAAAAGATATCAGATTTACCCAAAGAACCTTGTCTACCCATAAAGCCAGGTATCTGTTCCAGATCTTTGCAGTAGGCAGGACAAATACACACTGTCATCCTGCAAACAAGGCTATACGAAAACTTGCCTCCCTTTAAATTGTCATCCTTAAAAGCCACAGGTTTGTTACACATTAAAAAAAAGAATGTTACAACAAGGTCATGTAAATGCATGGAAAATACTACCTATGGAGAAAGGAAGGTGACTGTTCTGCTGTAAGCAAAATTGCGAGAGTTCAGCCACGGCACGCAAAGAAGGGGTAGATCTACCAGTCCATCCCCAGAGATGTAGGTGAGAATCGGCAACACAGCTTAGTGGCAAGAGAGTGTCCAGTAGCATTGTAACTAGGGATGAGACCTGGGCCCTGGGAGAATGGAGATAACCTGCTAAGGCTGCCGGATCAGAGGGCTCAGAAACAGGTAATAGCATGGGTTAACAGGGGTACTTTGAGGATATTTTTAGCACTAATAGCACAGGAGAGAGGACAGGGGGTAGTACTTGGTCCTCATCTGGGAAGGAATTTTAAAGGTCACCTTCTTGTCTGCTCTCATCACCTTTAATTGTTGCCACTTCCAGAAGCTTGTGGGGGGGAGGTCTGTCCCTGAAGATTTGGGGTCTCCCTGATGGCAACTGCTGTTGTCAAAAGCTTGTGTTTTAGTGCCAAGTCTGGTTGCCCTAGCTCCAACTGGCAGCTTTTTTCTCTGCCCGTTGCAGTCTCCCCATGCCTCCTTGATTCTGTACCAGCAGCAGGGGTGCAGGATTTTTTGTTGCTTTTCTCAGCCTTTTGTACCACTATGTTTGCAGCAGACTGGGAGGGAGCTCACTGCAGCAGCCTCCATCTCTACTTCTTCCACCCTCTGGGCTTCTCGTAAGAAAATTTGAGCCACCTCTTTCCAAGTTTGCTTCTCATGTTTGCAAATGCTACTGCAGCAGCTCTGATCAACTGTGGCAAGTGACTTGCTTCTCCTTCCAAGAGTACACGCTGTGCTGGGAACTGCCAGTGACCAGCAAGAGAACCGTAAGAGAGGAGGAGACAAGATACTTTGCCACTGAGAGGAATTGACAGCAGAGTAAATGCTCCCTAGAAGAGCCAGCACACATTAGGGAGTGCAGTGTACTAACTAGTTAGGCCACTGCATCATTTTGAAGCGAGGGCTCTGCTTTGCAGCATCGCCTCATCATGCTGCACTAAGAGATAATAGAAACATTCACCAAAGTGAGAGTGAGATGCCCTGTGGAGTCCACATAACCCAGCCAATGAAGTGACTGCCAAGACTGCATACAGTACAGCTGCTGTTCCTGGCACCCAGCCTTGGAGGAAATAAAAAAGGTAAGTAGAGGGATCACGTGCACATCCTCATGTGTTTCTTGATGCAGATTTAAAGTTTCAGTCACCCAGAGGCTGGCAGTGGACACACTGGCTTTTTAAGGGCTAGTCAAGTCTTCTCTAGCTGAATGTGAGTTATGGTGTCACTTAACCACAAGGCTGAAAAGAAGAATTTTCAAGTGTGAACCTCTTCCTCAGAGCCTGACCATCACAACTTGACAGAAAGCTTTTATACTGAGTTCCCCTGCAGCAGAAGCAGCAGCAACAGGGAAGATTAGATGTAGTCTACTACTCCCCTGATCCCTGGTGAGCTGTATTAGTTTAACAAGAGAGAGTTAGAGTACTGCATGGTTCATATATTCAGGCAGGATCACAAGTAACAGAAGGCCTTGGCCCCTAAATTCTACAAGTATTTTCACAGTTGTATTTTCCCTGACCAAATTAAACAAAGTGAGCATAAGACCCTTTGCTCCCACAGTCTTTAGACATCCAGTTTAAGGTTCTGCAATTTATGATAGTCCGGAAAATGTCAAATTTTATCCTCACTTTATCTTTATCTGTCTCTCTTGCAAAAGAAGACATGTACTACCCAAGTCTGATCTCTGCGCTACTTCTAGTGTTGTTGATGCCAGAAGCACTTCCTGCAGAGCCCAGTGAGCCCTGTCTTAATATAAAGTCAACTGTTTGAAAATGTAGTGGTGACCTCCACAGGTGATATTAGGTATGTGGGAAAAGCCTGAGCTCATGTTCAAGTCTAACAGTTGGTTTTTATTACAGAAACAAATCCTTAATGTAACACTTGGGCAGGTTCTGGTCAAGAGTGCTTCTTGCATTTAATAAAAAGTAATCACAGGTGGCGGTAGGTGTCTTTTGTAACGCCTCTACAAATGCTTTTAGTGACGGGTTTCGGTTCATTTAAAGAATATAAACAGTGGAGACTTAAAAATCGACCATGAGATGAGGCTGGCAGTTAAAGTCTGAAATTGCTGACAAAAGTTCCCAGGCTAACTTTAGCCTTTGACCATTACCACCAAGAGAATAATTTGATTTTTGTCACAAATATTTGAGTGTGATGTGTGGCCAACTTGGTAGCGATGCCCTCGGGAATCCTGGCAGTGAAGCTGCTGATTCTTTATATGTGCTTTATGTCTAATATGCCATGAGAAAGCAGACATTTAAATTCAGGTCCTAGAAGAGGTCTACCTGTTTGAAGACCCAATGATATAAACCTGACTTGACGGCAGGTAAATTATAAATTTAACAGGGCTGGGAGGGTGACTTAATTGCTGGTGGAAAATGGTCTCTGGAGAATAACTGCAAATCTGTATCAAGATTATCCAACATAAATTAACACTATTAGCAGTGATACGAACCGCTCCCTTCTAAAATAGTTTCTGGGTCTGTTTGGGAGCATTTATCTTAATCCTGACACAAGTGAACAATTAAGTTCAGTTATTTGTTTGTTTTTCCCCTAGTTACAATTATTTCTCTTGCTTTGCTCTGGGAAGCAGACAGCAGCCCATCAAAATGTGTTTGGTCTTGCAAGATTTGTGAGCCCAAGTATCAAGCAGGGAGATACTACTGGTCAATCTAAAAAAGACTTAAAAGACCTGTGACTAACTGTAGCACTGTTTGAATCCCCCTTCTTACATCTCAAGAGTAGGTACTGACAAGCAACCAAGCCCATTTGCTGCCTTTTCACCTCCTTTTGGGCTCCTTTGAAATGAAAGGTGGTTTTAGTGGGATGTCTGGTAGGACAAGATAAAGGATCTTCCCTGTTCACGAACAGTTAAGAGCTCACAGATGTATAATTGACAATCGTGGCGCATGAGAAGGCGTTTTGTTGCTCTTCCGTTTCTTCCCTCCTCATCCGTTTCATCCCAACTTTAAACTAATCTCTTTGGAACAGAGGCTGTCACTTGCTATATGTTTTTACACCTAGTGCAGCCAATTCAGTTGAAAATCACTTAGTATAAAGTTATACCTGCTTACAGTAAGAGCAGGCTGTTCCAGGAACAGAGGTCAGCCAGAGAAAACAGAAAACCTTTTATTTAGGACAGTGTAACCTGACAGAATTGGGCACAAATCACTGCAGAGAATAGAAACCACAGACGCAGTAATGGAGCCACAGTCTCTTCTCTCACTATGGGAGATGCTGTTAGATCTAGGAAGCCCCAGAGAAAAAGCAGCAGCAGATAGTTAAGAGGCAGAGGAAGTTAGACATGCAGGAGTTTCAAAGACAGAATTATACAAGGTGGTAAATGAATGAAACTTTACATAAGGAAACATGAGAGCTTGCAAAATACCAGTGGAGCCAAGGCAAGGCATCACTTAGTTTAGATCCAGCAGGGAGAGGGTTTGCAGATGGGAGAAGAGAAGTGGCTTGAAGAGCAGTGGAACAGAGCCTTCTTCCTCATTTTTGTCATTTCAGGCTACTGCTTTTACTAATCCACAGAACCCCTACAGTTGCTTTCATCATCCCAGGGCTCCTGTTGTTTCAGCAGAGGGGATATAGGCTCATTTTCCCCTGCCTCCTTTAGGATCACTTGTCATAAAAAAAAAAAAAAAAAAGTTTCCCTATATGTAGTACTCCCTCCATTCTACCATTACCAAACTCAATTAGAGAGCTGATGGTACAGTAGCATGACAGAAATGAGCATAAGATAACCCTTCCTAGCTAGATAAATGCTTTATTCCATAAAGGGGCACTTAACTAAAGGGCTTCTGGATGAGACTTTCAAAACATAGGTGACATGCAAGTGCTGCTGGGGGGGGGGGG